GCGCGCCACAGGCGGGGGGGGGGGGGGGGAAATGCGTTTCCATAGCAACACCGGCATCAGAAGGGTCTGCACAGCATCCAGGCGGGAGCAATCCGTTCACTCCTCAATCCGCTAGTCGTGACTTCCCGGCCAGGAAACGTCTTCTGAGCCCTTCCTGTCATCTTAAAGTTACTTCTGATGGGACACATTCATTTTTATACATTTGCTGCTTCATATATTTTCATATTATTTATATATCAGCGCCCCCGCCTCAGCGGCTGCCGAGATACAACCAATTGGCCACCACGGGCCCTGATTCATCAAGCTGCATTTGCAATGGGGAATGATTACTGTGTGATAGCATTTGGAGGTGACAGGTTCTCTTTATTGACACTGCCACCTCCAATACAGGGTCTCTAGCACAGCTCTCCCCTCTCACTGTCTACACGGAGCGGCGGGGTTACTTTTAACCCGGCCGCTCTGCTCACTGCAGTGAGAGACTCGGCGGCGGAGCCCGGAACCAGAGGAGAGAGGTAAGTTCAGGGGGGAGGGGGGAGGGGAGGAGGGGGAGGACATCGCCGAGATGACATGTAAACAAACAATCGGCTGCCTCACTCTACATTTAGTCCTGCTTGTGCAAAGCAGGACTAAATGTAGAGAGGGTAACTTGGGGGCCAGGAACTTCCCCACAAGGACACCGCTGTCCATGTCACGTCCGATGTCAGTGATGAACAATTGTTGGATTGGATCATCACCAACAACCTGGTCCCGGTGCTGAGTCTCACTGCCGGTGCTTTTCTTTCAGGTGGTGTCCAACGTCCTGATTTTCTTGTGTACGAACATCGTTGGGATCTGCACGCATTACCCCGCGGAGGTGTCGCAGAGGCAGGCCTTCCAGGAGACCCGCGAATGCATCCAGGCGCGACTCCATTCCCAGAGGGAGAACCAGCAGCAGGTAGGAAACATTCATGGTCGCTGCATCACGCGGATCCGCGGGGGCGGGACCCAAACGAAATAGAATGGAGAATTAGCCCCTCCCATGAGGACCCGCACCAGCCACAGCCGTCTCTTCTCATTCCTCTCCATCTCACATTGACATCGGCCGGTCTCTGTGTCCAATCCGTGTCTCATTTCCCTTCCTCCTTCCCCTCTGTTACAATGTGTCGATGCTGCTATAGATCCAGAAAAAAACAGCGTCCCCCCCCCCCCCCCCCCCAGTCCCCTTCCCCGACCCCGACCCCGA